CAAAAGCGACCGACTCGCTCCAACTGGCATCTTCTGTGAAGCTTTGTGCCAGAGTGCCAGCTGATAAAACAATAAATTCGTTGGGATGTTGAATAACTCGATGATAACGAATATGGTTTTTGTCTAGTATCAGAGGATCAATAAGCAACTGTCCATGATCAAGACATATAGTAGGTTTGTACTGATCGATTATTCCTTGTAGAATTTCTCGCTCGCCAGTCGGAATAATGTACCAGTGATGAGCACCACCTTCATGATGATAGTCAATCGAAAAGAGACGTTGTTGAGCAGAAGTCATTGGAAATATAGAACCTGGTCCATGTGCTCTTCTCACACATGGAATGAATTGACGTGTCACTTTGGTACCACCTAATTTAAGAAGTGATTGATGAGGCAAACGATGCATATCAAAATATGAACGAGACATTTTCTCACAAAAGAAACTTTTATTAGGTCCTATTGAAGTGTTCACTAGCCGTTGTTTGTTACTAGAACAGGATAATGAAGACCAAAAATTATATTCATCAGTCACCAACGAAGTTTGCTTGGCAGAGTTGTCAATGTAATCAACCTTTTGTGCGAAGTAGACAGGTTCATGTTTATTTATCCTTACTATCGTTTTCATAGATGGGCATAACGCAATGTTTTTTCGCTCTTTCTTCAAAGCTAATTTACAGTCGATATTCGGTTGAATTTTAAGTGCACCGAATTCGTTCAAAAGCTGTTCATGTTTGTAAATAAAACTGATCAAGTTCTGAAAATCGTTTCCATTGATTTGTAACGTCGGAATATCCATTGAGATCGACGACATATTATGCAGAAATTCAAAATCTAATGAAAATTCATGCAATATAACAGTTTTTACTATGTCAATATAGAACTATAGTAAAACTCGATCTGCTCAAAGCCCGATTGATTCAGTAAACAGCATAACATTATTTTCATTCCCTACAGAATATACTGAGTTAAGGGTACCCGAAAAAGTACCCTGTTACCAGTATGTCACAGGAACTTTTGGGTACCAAAGTACTTAAGTGGTACTTTGGTAGGTACGCTGCTACAAAATGTATAGTAACTAGGTACTTGAAGATACTGATCAGATACTCAATTGGGTACTATTGTACAGTATTTCTAGGTACCCTGCTACCAAAATTTCAGTATATTCAGGATTGAACCTAACCTCTCACTTTTTGCATTTTTTTTCTCTCAAAGCGATTCATTACATTTTTTTCGATTTTTTTCGATTTTATTATAGTTATTTAATTTTTTCAATTCCGAAAACTCAACAGATCAAATGTCGAGATCTGACCGAACTTGAGTTAGTCTAGTATCCATGAGACCACCTCAGGATAGTCCACTCTTAATCTACGATCAATATCGGATAGTTCTCGACTAAGAAATAGTCAAGAAATAGCGAAGAAATAATCTAGAAAGAATTCGTATGAAAACAGATTAATTTCTTCTGTTTTGCTCAGTTGTTTATATGGAGCTGTGCGCGATAAAGAAAACGATGAATGAACAGTCGCTACGTAGAACGCGACAAATGTAGAGTACCCTGCAGAGTTTTCCTCAGTAAAATTACAGATACGGGTATCCATATCAGTACTTGCTCAGTACATGGGTGCCCTGAACTCAGTATTTTCTCTAGGGTTTATACTCATGTCGTTCAAACAGTTCAAAAGCTATCTATTAATCGCAGTTCTTCTTTTTAATATTTGTGAAACTCACATATATCCTTAAACCTTAATATTCTAATACATCATAGGTAAACTGAAAAATTTCTTGTACACTGTAGTTGTTTTCA